TTAAGTTTTTCACAAAAAGCAGTCTTGACATTGAGGACGCATATTCAAATGGCCGAAATCTGGGGAGAAATTAGACTTTGGTGGTAAGCTAAGTCAACATTTTCGGCTGAGCCCGTCAACCGGCTGCAAAAAGTGACACCTTTGGCGAGGATTTTAATAGCAGTGATGAAACTTGTTCAATTTTACATTTGTTCGCGGGCATCACATAATGTAGGAAGACATAACAGTCTCTTGAATTCCGAAAATTTGGGTAAAAACCCACACCCGGCCACGTTGTATTTTATTATGCGTCCGGGTGGTCGATTGAATACCCTACGCTCGGGTCGAGGTCAATTTTGCCCCCCCCCCCCTCTTCCATCACTGAGTTCTCGAAAGCTGAGCAGGCGGGAGGCACTAATTTCACGGAATGTGTTAACCTATACGTGAACTTACATGTGTCAAAATTTCAAATCAAATCAAATAAAAAACGCGCGCCCGGGTGGCCACCTAGCACCCTTTGCTCGGGGGAGGGGGGGGGGGGGGCGGGGGCCAAATTGACCCCCTTGAAATCTCGGGAACAAAGAAAGCTAGAGACAACAAACTTACAGAGCGAGTTGACCTTGAATTCACTCAGAGCAAAGTTTCAGGTTCCTAGGGCATGACCTTCGGGTCAAAAAAGGTAAAACAAGGTAAAGTTCCAGGTTGGTCTCCAAAGTGCCCCCAGAATCTAGGCGACCGTTTCTAAGCAAAAGTTCACATGCTCACTTAAGGTCAGTGATCTTGTTTGTCCTTTTGAAGGTCAAGGTGACCAAAACCATACAAGATTACTTTGAGTTTTGCATTTGATTACGCGACAAAGACGCTAGGCAGTATGTTCCTGAAACAAAATGCTGACCTGGTTCATTTTAGGCCAATGACCTTTTCTGACCTCTAAGAAGTCCATGGAAGATGAATGATGCGGCTCCTGCTAACAATAAACTCGAAATGAGCACCAGAAACTATCCCATACAGCAAGCCCTAGTGTAACAAAACAGGTTGGTTTTGACCTTGGTGTGACCTTTGTACCTGACCTTAGGTCAATTTCATTTACTCATTCAACCGTTGTGTCGCCTAGGAAAGCATCTCAGAGATGTATGGCTTCGTCTAATACTTCGTTGTTGGATCAGATCGAAGAATTCCCTAGAAATTGCCTTCGATGAAACCATGACCTAACTTTGACCTGCCATAGGTCAGCGACCTTACAACGGAATTCTAGATGTTTAATGCCAAACGATTCACTATTCAATTGTCCACAGCTATACAAAATTTGGCGCGGCTGCGCCGCGTCTTTCGGAAACCATTCTCAAAAAATCTTCGGGGGAGGGTCAATTTGCCCCCTCGACCCGAGTGTGTGTTAACACGTGCTCGGGTGGGAAGAGTCAGTTGGAGCCCTGCCCTTCCCCCCCCCCCCCAGGTTTTTCAGAAATTATTTTGCACCAAGTTTTTCATGGCTGTAAACAATGGAATAGTGAATTATGCGATATAAAGCATTCAGATGTATCTTGTAAGGCCACTTATATATGACAGGTCAAAGTCAGGCCATGAATTGAGCGAAAACAATTCGCAGGAAGTCTTTTAATTTGATGCAACAACAAGGTGTTAGACGAAGTCATTCATCTCCGTGATAGTTTCCCCAGGCAACACAACAAATAATGAACAAATTTTGTTGACGTAGAATTGGGTATGAGGGTCAGACCAAGGTCAAACCCGACTTGTTTTGATATTCTAGAACTTGCTGTGTGAGATAGATTCTAGTGTTCATTTTGAGTTTTATAATGGCAGAAACCGCATTATGATATTCCACAGACTTTAAAGATCAGAATGTCACTGACCTAAACTAAACCAGATCAACATTTTGTTTTTGGGGATATTCTGCCTAGCGCAATCCTTGGCGCCTATTCAAATGCAAAAATCAAAGCAGTCTTGTATGATTTTGGGCAACATGACCTTTAAAGGGTCACACAAGGTCACTGAACTTAAATGACCACCAGGGTCTCGTTGCTTAGAACAAGTATCTAGGTTCACGGTGTTTGCATGAGAAGGTCTGGGAAACTTTAAACACAATCTGGAGTTTGACCTTGTTAACCTTATTTGACCCAAAATCATGACCTAGGAACCTCAAAACTTAACAAAGATGAGTTCACGTACAGGCCAATACACCCTGCAAATTTGGTGTCTCTAGCTCTCTTAGCTTCTCAGATCTCAGGGGGCTAAATTGACCCTACCACTCCAGCGAACGGTAACTAACCGGCCATCCGGGCGCGTGTCAAAACTACGTTAGTGAAAATTTGTAGCCACGTCATTTTCCTTATTAGTCGGGACCGGCCCTCTAAACTGGAGATGTTCCTATGCCCCGAGCCAGCCCACTCCTGTGCAAATTCTCGTCACGGTCTTGGTCTAGGCATTTTAGTTTTTATCCTCTCATTCCATGATGCGTGCCCGGAAAACCCATGCACTTTTACTATTGCACCATTTCGCATGTAGCATAGTTCTTCCATGTCCAACCCAGCGTTAAAATTTTGGCGTTCCCACCTTATGGCCCTATCTATTGAATGGTATGTCACCTCCACTCGGTATTTTTGTATATAATGCCAGACAGACTGTTTTGTGTTCCCCAATTACACTGCAAATCTCCAAATCCCACTCTAAACGCCATAGTCCACGCTATATAACATACAACATGCACACTGTTGTTTTACCGTACTTGCATGTTCCCCTCCCGACTCCTTCGCCGTTTTCACGGTCTGTATATTACTATTCACACCCCACAGTTCTTATCACAATTCCCTTGAGACATGATCACCACTGACTGCAGCGGCGCACACGCAGGCGCGGCCAGAGACGGGCCCAGGCCCAGGCAAAGGCACAGCGCTCGGTGCGGCACATCCCAACACCTTACCATACGCTGCAAGCGTTCACAGCGAGCGACAGAACAGAAGCGCAGGAGATAGCATCCCACATGTGGTCTGGTGCCTCAGCGCGCCCGCGGGCGGCACGGGTGTGTCGCTGCCGATCTGTGCGACGCAGGGCCGGCGGTGCCGTCGCAGGTTCAGCAGCGGTGGGACAGCGACATTGCTCTTGCCTGCCGCCCGCTGCCGCTCTGGATGTTCAGGTTGGCAATATGCGAAATAAAATTCTGCGTTCTGTTGGGGTTGGATTTCCTGGCTGTCTTTCCGTGAGAAATGCTTGTTTGTATTCGATTTCCTACGAGCTCCTTCTGGCGTTACGAATAACCTACCTGGCCTTTGCTTTAGCTTGTTTGTATTCCATTAGATGAACAGTCCGTCGACTCCGTCTAAATCCGTTAAGTGGCCTTTTACGATTTCGAATGGCGTCTTTGCACTCTTCGTTCCACCAAGAGCAGCTGTATGTTATTTTTTTATTTATCCTGACAGGGGTAATCTCCTGAGCCACGCAGTTCGCCCCGTATCAGCACAGAAACCCTCACTGACGCAACAACATCCCTGATCGCCGCAGGTGGTCCAATAATTGTCACATAGACTCCGGTTTCACGTTTGTTGTGTTCTTCAGAGATACTGAGAACTCCCTGAACGTAGACTGTAGGTGAGATGGTGGTTCCAAATTTGTATTAGCATAGCTAATCCATGTTCGTCTTAAAATGTTCAAGATCCAGTCGGAATTGATCACTGATAAAAACTATGTGACATGGTTTGAACATTCGCGCTCGCAACTCGTAGCAACGTCAGCCTCGATGTCCGGCGTTTTGGCCTCCATAGGCCGCGCGGCGTCGGCCCTGCGGGTGTAGCACTAAATGGTGGCCAATGAGCAACCAAAAAAGGTGACGCATCTTGAGGAATATGGCTGGTGAACTAGGAAAATCGGCATAAACCTTTAATGCAGTGCAACAGTAAGCCAAACACAACCTAAATCTGAAAAATGAGGAGGGCAGTTAACACCACTGCCCCCCATGGCCCCCCTTGGGGGCCATGGCCCCCTGGACCCCTGTTCCTACGCCCATGCATGTGAGCACGGCCCGCACTTGTCGTCGGCTACCGATTTTTTTTGGGCAGTGGGTAATTTTTACTATTACCTCCGCCCTTGTATATGGTAGCTTCCCAAAATCCGGTAGCCTTTTGAACGACGCAGTTGTTGCGCATGACGGCTCGTTCGTTGTCGGGGACGCCGATGCCGCTTACGTACAGAGTGACGGTGTGAATGGAAAGCACGGTTGTTGGGTCTGCAGTGGGGTGTGTGCTGGTTAGTGACGTGGTAATGCACGGTGTAAACTAGCCGATTACCTTTCTGTACAAAGGTGTAGGATTAATGGGCCTGAGCAAAAAAAGCCTGATGATCTTATTACACCTATCTTCACGCTGTCTGGTAGAAAGAAGTGTAGGCTAACGCAGGATTGTAAAAAATTGACAGTTGTGATATCGGTAAATAACTAATTGATGAGATTGGGTTTACATTTGCATTGAAATGGAAGTTTTATGCTCTTTCATTGCCGAACACTGAAAGGTTACAAAGTCTCAGTGAATATCAAGTGCTGGAGCTGGCATTTGATGAGCTGTTAAATGACTTCTCAAAAGTCTGCCTGCCTGTTGACACTGCCAATCAGATCAGTTTCTGAGTGTGCCAATTTTGTGGCATGTAGGATTGTGACTGTTCTTGTCAATGGTGGTGTATCACAGGATGCTTTTGCCATTGGGTGTGTGGTGGGATTTGGTCTGATCCTTTACTGGTTATTCCAGAATATCAATGTGATATGCATGTGAATATTTATGTATTGATCTATAAAAAGTGTGTGAGATGATCCTTAGTTTAGGAATGAGGCATTCTGTGACTGTGTTTGAAATGGAGTGATGCAAATTGGTGCCATTTGGCACAGTTGGTTTTTGGATGTTGCATTGGTGATAGTGCATTGGCATATGAAGTAAATTGTGTTTGTTCTCCATGCAATATATGCTTTTTGAATAAAACTTTTTGGCCATCATATGTTGCTGCATCTGCAAATGTGAACATAAACTTAATGTAATTTTTTCTAGCTTTCATAGCAAATTGGTACTCTCATGGGCTGCAGGTGTCATGCAAAGTTTTGTTCTTCACATTAATGGAAATTTATGTTTTCAGGGTTCTTTGTATCAGTTTTAACCATTGTATGCTTTTTTTAGTTTTTAATATTGAATTCATTCATTTTTGTGTTGCTTTTGCCATACTATGTTGATGCAATTTAACTTTTTAAGATTTAGTCATGACCAAATTATGTGAATTTCTCCATGTGATCTAGCTCATTTAAGGGCCTCTCATATGACCATCAGATATCTTATTTGTAGTGTCACCTTGGGTGTTCCACCTTGATGACATGGGTATTGTTGGGGTAACAATGGGGTATTCAGGTTTAAGACAGCCAGGTAATGGAAAAACATGCACCGCTGCAGGTAGAACTTAATGCAAAAATAGCATTGGCTGTGGTTGGAGACACACCTGCCTGTCAGTAGCTTGGCTCAGGTTACTTCTCACTGTTGGTTACCGTGATATGCAGGGGCCTAGCCTGAAGCATGAAGGTGACAGCATAGCTGTTATACTTTCATGTTTCCATGTAATAAGGCAATAGCGATATGTTGTGTATTAATTTCATTTGATGCATATTGCATTTTTGCATCCTGAGTCAATTTCTGCTAATATATCTCCCATTTTCAGCATTTTTTGCCAGCATGTGGTGCACATGGTATACATGCATCTGACTTTTTTTGAAAGGACTTAAGTTGCAAATAGAACAGCAAGTGTAGACATGTTGCATCACCCCCAGTGAAACAGCCTGAAGTAACCAAGTGGCTTAGTTGACCATTGTCTGTATTCAGTATTGTATATATACCTTATAAATGAACTGCTCCAATCCCTATGCCTGCAAAGGTACCAATGTCTCAAAAATATGTGTCAAGGCACAGTTTGTCTATGTCTGAGTCCCAGCTGTGAATGGTGGAAGATGCAATGGTTTCCAACACCAAATGACCTTTGATGGGTCTTGCACATTGTCATAACAAGAAGCTGCATAAGTATGCAAAAATGTGACACCATATGCACCATACACACAAGAAAGTGCTGCTTTTGCAGCCTGTTCTTTTGTAAGATCATCGCTTTGATTTTGTAGGTCACCAGTGTTGTGATATAATGGTATTATTTCCATCCAGGAAAGATGAAGAAGCGAGCGACGGTCCGTATGTCCATGTTTTGTCCGGATGGCTCCCCTACACCAATTGGCATGGACAGAAACATCACTAAAAGAGCAGCTGGAAGGTCGTCCAAGAAAGTTGCTGGTATGTAGTGTGCATGCTAGTGAATGATTAGTTTGGAAGGAAGTCAGATCACTATTCTTGTATGATTGAAGAGTTAGTCATAAAAATGAAAATATGGTTTGTGAAAGCATCTGTTAGGTATTTGTGTGGATGTTTATTGATCAGAGATGATGGACAGGGCTTACAGTTGTCAGATGGTGACGGTGGTCTGGCTTGTGGCGTGCCGGCATGAAGGCCATTTCGCTGTTATCTCCTTTTATGGACAACTTTGATGTCAACTCTATGGCGTTTCATGTGAAGCAAAGCGATATAAGATTTGTGTTTGCCCACTGCTTGCCTTCACAGCCCTTGCTGTCTTATCCGTCATTACTGTGTTAAATTTTGCCCACCCTGTTGCTGTCCGGGATAGCGCGGCATGACCTGGCGATGAACGCACTGGGCGAGGATTAGCCTGACGTCAGTGGTTTGGCCGTCAGCTGACCGCTCGCGTTTGACGGCAGAGTTCAACAAGCTGTCGCGGCGGCGGCCGGAGCCGGCGTCGGAGCGCGAGAACGCGCCGCCTTCCGCCCCGCCGCCCCGGCCGCCGGCTGTTCTCGCGTCCGACGCTAGCGAGATCGGCGAGGCGGCTGACGCGCTGCCCCTGGCCACTGCCCCGGCCGCCGCTCCGGCCGCTGGCCGAGCGACAGCCGTCGGCCTGTGACGAGGGCGCGCTGCTGAGACGGCCCAGAGCTGAAGACAGAGCTGAAGACGCGGCCGGAGGAGTCGGTGGTGGAGGAGGAGCTGGCGTTGTTAGGGCGACGAGGTCCGGCGGCGGACACGACGCGCGGTTGCTCCCAAGACGGGGCGGAACGGCTGGGACGAACCGTCGAAGACGACACGGCCGCTAGAGAGACGGCGTTGAAAGGCCCACGCCTATGACGAAGGTAGCGCCAGTGGAGCTGACATCTCCCTCATCCCAACCAGAGCCCGTCTGTGAATGTGCGACTGACCTCGTGTGGCGGCGGCAGTGACACGCCCTCGCCGGGAGCGAGGAACCGACCACTCTCGTCCGACTCGTTCGAGTCCGCCGCCTCGTCACCAGTCGTCACCAAGGCTCGGCTGACCGTCAGCGAGGCCCGGCCGTCCGTCAGCGAGGCCCGGCCGGCCGTCAGCGAGGCCCGGCCGTTTGCCAGCGAGACCCGGCCGTTTTTCAGCGAGACCCGGCCGGCTGTCAGCGAGGTCCGGCCGACTGTCAGCGAGGCCCGGCCGACTGTCAGCGAGGCCCGGCCGACTGTCAGCGAGGCCCGGCCGACTGTCAGCGAGGCCCGGCTGGCCGTCAGCGAGGCCCGGCCGACTGTTGGCGAGGCCCAGCCGGCTGTTAGCGAGGCCCGGCCGACTGTCAGCGAGGCCCGGCCGTTTGCCAGCGAGGCCCGGCCGGCTGCGGTCCAGCGGACGCCGCCTCCAGCTCGGGCTCTGAGCAGAGCCTGCCGTACTTCACCCCCAGGCGGCTGGTGCGCCGCCGCCCCGCCGCTGCCGTGCTCGAGAGCTCGGACGAGAGCGGCGTCGCCGACGGTGGCCGCTCGGCGCCGCTGCTGTTGCGCGCCCTGCGGCGCCTGCCCGCCTCCACGTCCACCCCAGCCGTGGACGCGCCCACCCAACCGCCGGACGTAGCCAGCCTGCCGTCGCCCGTGCTGGAGGCCGGGCCGCTCGCCGGCGGTCGGCCGGGCGCGGCCTCTGCTCACGGGAGCTGGGAGCGGGCCGAGGGCGAGGCGCCCGCGGAGGAGGCTGCAGTGGAGCGACGCGAGCCCACGGGGCGCCCGCCGCCGGACGCGTCCGTCGCCACCGACCCGGAGAGCGCCTCGCTCGTCCTTGCGGTTGGCGCGCCCGCGCCCGTCGGCGTTCGCTGGAGGTGCGGGAGGAGACGCCGGCCACCGCCCCCGCTGGGAGTCCGCGTGAGTCGTGGCCAGCTCCGGCGGCCGCGTCCCCACCGGCAGCTCCAGCTCCGCCACCAGCATTGGCCGCGCCCCCCGCTCCGCCGTCGGCTCTGAACGCACCGCCGGCCGACTGCGCTGACGTGGCGCGCTGGGTGGAGGAGAGCCCGTTCCTGACGGTGCCCCTCGGACGAGTCGGACGTGGTCGTGATCAACTCGGACTCGGAGTGGGACGACTCGGACCTGCTCTAGTGTCTCGGAGCGCGCCGCCGTCGCCCGCGTGCCGCCGTTCGACCGGGCGAGGACGCCGGCTCCGCCGCCGCCGCCGTCCGCGCCGGCCAGCGCCGGCCAAGCCGCCACGCGGAGCCGGTCACCCAGGAGCGTCCGGCAGCCGGAGGGGTCGGCCCGGCGGCGGGTGCGCCGCGGCGCGAGCGGCCGCGTCACAACTCGGGGTCACTCCTCCGGAGCTGAGCTGGAGAAATGGTGAGTGGCGGTGGCGTCAAGCAGCGCCGCCGTGGAGCGGGGAGGTGGAGTGGTGCTGCTCTCTGTTTGACGGAAATACGAGTTAGGTTCAATGGTCGGGCCAGCTCACGGTCGGGCCAGTTCACGGAAAACTGTTTGTTTTACTAAAAACCGATATTTTGCACCCGAATGCATCATATGTGTGTGGTCCAGCGTTCCATCCCTCCATCATGTTGATTATGCCCATTCGAAGAGTGCGTATTAGCCAAGCTAAGCGTGCACGCCTCTAAGCTGTGCACCTGATTTTCAGTTTAAACGCCTGTACGTCACGCCCAGACGGAAAGCCCGCGCACTATCCTCAACGAGCGAAAACGAAGGACGACTTCATCAACGACGACTCCACGAGCGAGGACGAGCTCATATACCACCGAGCGGTGGCCGGTTGCCGACCGCGCGCGCAACCCGCGGTTTGAGCCGCCGCACGGGCGCCAGGGCCGGGGGGAGGGGGGGGGTGGGGGGGGGCGCCACATGCCGGCCTGGAAGGCGCGCCGTCGGTGGATTCAGCCCGCTGTGGGAGAGCGGGGCAGGTTTGAGCGTGGAGCGGAGCGGTGGAGGCGCAGGGATGGACGCCGAGTTGTAGCGGTGCGCTGGAACTGTGGCTTACGAAACGCTCGGGGAAAGCTTCACAGCTGGTTCTCGGTTTTCTTTTGAGTCACAGGCGACTCCCAATCCCTGACTTTCGGTTTGTCATCTTATTTGTCCGGGTTCGGTCCGGGCCGACCGATCCTATCACCGTTTGACGACTGTCTAGTCGCGGTTGTACGTGCCTGCGCTCGTGCCCCAGCTCTGCGTGCGAAGCCGACCGGTCCGCGGCGGCCATGTTGGGTGTTGAGCTGGTGTCTGACGCTAACACTGAAGTGGTATTGCTACTGACGCTCGACTGCTGTCCGCTGCTGACACTGAGCTGCTGTCCGCCGCTGACACTGAGCTGGTGTCTGCCGCTGACGCTGAGCTTGGTGTCTGCCGTTGACTGGTGTCCGCCGCTGACACAGCTGGTGTCTGCCGCTGACGCTGAGCTGGTGCTACCGTTGGCTGGTGTCCGCTGCTGACGCTGAGCTGGTGTCTGCCGCTGACGCTGAGCTGATGTCCGCCGCTAACGCTGAGCTGGTGTCCGCCGCTGACGCTGAGCTGATGTCCGCCGCTAACGCTGAGCTGATGTCCGCCGCTAACGCTGAGCTGGTGTCCGCTGACGCTGGGCTGGTGTCCGCCGCTGACACTGAGCTGGTGTCTGCCGCTGACGCTGGGGTGTCCGCTGCTGACGCTGAGCTGGTGTCTGCCGCTGACGCTGAGCTGACGTCCGCTGCTGACACTGAGCTGGTGTCCGCCGCTGACGCTGAGCGGTGTCTGCTGACGCTGAGCTGACGTCCGCTGCTGACGCTGAGCTGATGTCCGCTGCCGGCAGGCCGGACCCGCTGATCTGTGCCAGCGACGAGTCGCCGAGGCGGCCGGCGTGTCACCGGACGAGCCCGTCTTCAGACCGCCTCGGCCTCAGGTACTCAGCGCTGAGCTGCTGACGTCCGGCGCATGTTTGACATGACGTCGGGAAAACCATGCCGTCTCTCTTAGCCCCTGTAGGTCTTCTGTTAACGTTTTGATTGTCTTTGTATAGAACAACGAAAGGTCCGGGATTTTTTCAATCAACGTTTGAAACACATGGTCGAAGAAGCTTTTAAATGCATGCTTTATTGTCCGTACATGTTTTTCTCAGAACCCATTTACTTTGCTTAGACCATGTCATAGCGTGTCAGAAAAACAATTGCTTGTGGTAATGCCTTTATATGCTGCGCATTACAATAGCTCTGCTTTGCTTTTCAACTCGGTATCCGAAAAATATTGCTCCGCTGTGACACGATTGGTTGACACTTGCAATATTTGACTTTTTACCTTCGGTCCCAGACCTGTGACCCGCTGACCCGTCCACATAGCTTGCATGACCAACGCTGGGCTTCTCACCACTGTGTGGCAACTGGTAGCATGGGGGTCGGCCACCCAGTAACGCTGATGACTTAATTAGTGGCCGGTCGGGGCCCTGGCACTGAGCGACTTGTCATAACCAATACGTTACTCAGCGACTGTATCATAACAATACCTCACTCGTTAAAATATTTCGCAACCAAATCCGTTGGCGTAGGACCGCTGTAATCTAGGGTCTTGGGGTCCTGGATGCACACTAAAAATGGGAAGCTGTGCCGCATCCAATGCTGCCAACAAAATTCCAAGGCTTAAGAAAGTTGATGTTTGTTACGACTGCTGGACCTAATATGCCGCCTTTCCAAGCATTTTCAGGTAGTTTTAGTTTTCCTTGCATTGTACATTCGGTACTGGGCTGCGCAGGAGACGGTCAAGTCCCCTTCCTCTCCGACTCAGGCGTGACTCTTGGCCATGGCGGCCAGACGAACCATCGCCCCCCCCCCCCCTGCCGACCTACCTCTCCCCATAGATCAGTCGGTTAGAACTGCCGTCGGCACATGCCTCCGCCTGGCTCCACCCACCACCTAAGGTTGCCGTAACTGCCCCCTCCCCACGTGCCGCCAGCCATTTGGCGCCGGCCGGCTGGGGCGGCGGCCGGGCGGTTGCCCGCCGCCGGGGCATCTGCGGCCCGTCCGGCCGGCGGCGCCCGGGTCACACGTTCTTGCTCGCATTGCCGGCGGCCGCGGGCGGCGGCGGCCCGGGGCCCGGGTGACCCGGATTGCGCGCGCCCGCGACGAGCGGCGCTGCCAGACGGACCCGCGGCGAGCGGCGCTGTCAGGCAGGTCCGACGGCGAGCGGCCCTGCCGCGGCCCCGCTGAGGTCTGGCCGTACCGCGGCCCCGCCGAGGTCTGGCCGTACCGCGGCCCCGCCGAGGTCTGGCTGTACCGCGGCCCCGCCGAGGTCCAGCTGTACCGGGCCCTGTCGAGGTCTGGCCGTGCCGCGGCCCGCCGAGGTCTGGCCGTACCGCGGCCCCGCCGAGGTCTGGCTGTACCGCGGCCCCGCCGAGGTCTGGCTGTACCGCGGCCCCCCGAGGTCTGGCCGTACCGCGGCCCCGCCGAGGTCTGGCCGTACCGCGGTACCGCCGAGGTCTGGCCGTACCGCGGCCCCGCCGAGGCCTGCCCTGCCGCGGCCCCGCCGAGGTCTG